TGCATCTCCAGAACTTACCACAGCGTCCAGCATATACATAGTATATCCTAAAGAGTGGCCAGCTTTCCTGGAGATAGTAAGTAACCACGTCCTCTCTAGTCCCCAATTTAAACTTCTAGACAGGAGACATGCATATCTGATAGAGAGGGAAAAAAGTAATCAATCTAGAACCGGAAGGAGCCCCTGAAGCTATCTCATCTAAACCCTTCACTTTGAAGAAACTGAGGCTTTAGGGAAATTAACGGAGACAGGTGATATAGTCGGTCCTGGGTTCAAATCTGACCTCAGACATTTACTAGCTGTGTGACCCTTGGCACTTAACCTCTGTTTGCCTCAGTTTCCTCAACTATAAAATGGGGATAATAGTGCAGAATTTTTGTGAGAAACAAATAAGATAGTTGTAAAACACTTAGCACAGTGCCTGGCACATAAAAAGCACTATATAAATATTAGGGATTGTTATTGCTATTGTTGAACAGTCAAGGAACAGAGACAGTGCTCTATCCATAGCACCACACTGTTTAGGACCAAAGGTGGCAGATTCTCTAACTTGCCCTGTACTTGAAGGCTTTATCTGGGCTCAGGTTGCACATCTCAAGTTTTCCCGAGTTCTGCTGTGTGATTGCACACACATATTCATTTTGGGAAGGACCCCAGCCATGCTTCTCCTCACTCTTGCTTGAACTGACCTGAACTGTTCCCTTGCCAGTACAACTGCTCCCCTCCCCATCCCCCACTTCCCTACAGCTCTCCTTGATATGTTCTAAGGTCCTTAAGGGTAGGGACTGTCTCGCTTGTTTTTCACCTCCCAATGCTTATCACCATGTCTGGCACATACAGGAAGTGGCTAATAAATACTCTCATTCTCTCGTGGACCTATCCCTGAGATTCCAGGGTGCTGGCTCAAGCCTGGCCTCTCCCCTAGACAGAGCAATTAGTCCCTTAACATGGAATGCCATCAAGGGTATTATGGCTCAGATTCCATCACCAGAGTCTGTCACTTGCAGTGGAAAGGAACGCTGGTCAGAATCAACCCCCCCCTTCCCCCTTGGCAATGTAACACATTCATTGTTAACCAAATTAACACTTTGGGTAGGTATTAGCTCAGCAGACTTATGTCAGCCCAACAGACAGTTTAGGGGGATGTTGTTGCTGTTGTTCATTTGTTTCAGTTGTGTCCAACTCTTTGTGACCCCATTTGGGGTTTGCTTGGGCAGAGATACTGGAGTGGTTTGCCATTTCCTTCTCCGGTTCATTTTACAGATGAGGAAACTGAGGCAAACAGGGCTAAGTGACTTGCCCAGAGTCACACAGCTAGTGTCTGTGGCCAGGTTTGAACTTGGGAAGATGAGTCTTCCCCCAGCACTCTATCCACTCTGCCACCTTGCTGCCCTTGTTTAGTGGAATAGGTTGCAAGAAAGGTACATTGTGATTAGGGATAGGAGGAAGAGAAGAGAAAGAAAGGCTCAGTTAGAGGTCCTCCTTGGAGTCTTCTGAGTGCTTTAACAGGGGAGGGGATAGAGTGTTAGAGTTGGAGGAGAGAACTGAATTTTGAATCCTGACTTATTATGTGTGACTGAGCAGGCCACTTACCTACTCTTAGTCTCACTATGAAAATGGGTTCAATACCAGCACTTACTTTCTATGACTGTTGCATAGATCCAATGAGACATTGATGTGAAGCACCATTGTAAACCTATCTAAATGTTAGCTACGATGACTTCAACTACCTCTGTCCCATCTGTCTCCTCTCCACTCCCACTACTACCACCAGAGTTCATGCCCTCAAGTCCTATTCCTGGGATTATCCCAACAGCCTCTTAAAACAGTCTTCTGGGCTCCCATTTTAAATATCTCCTTCATAATGGCACCAGCATAATCTTCCTATCTGCACAGCTCTGACACTCCTGTCAGCATGAAAACCCCTAGTGCCTTCCTATGGCCTACAGGATAATAATAACAACTAACATTCATATAGCACTATTGCTATTTATATAGCCCTGGGTCACAATTTCCTTGACCACAAAATAATAATAGCTAGCATTTGCATAGTGTTTTAAGGATTGCAGAGTATTTAAATATAATCTCATTTTATTTTAACATGTTAGGAATCAGATGCTATTACTTCCATCTTACAGATGAGGAAACTGAGGGAGACAGATTCTATGATTTACCCAAGCCAGATCCAGTGTGCCACTGATCCTACCCATTTGAAACTTTCTCCAATCTGCATCTAAGCTTCTTTCCAGCCTTATTTTACACCACTCCCCTTCTCGCATTCTAGGTTCTGGTCAAATTGAACTGTTTTTTCCCCCAGTCTCATCCTGAACTCATCTGCTCTCTTGTCCCTAAGGGAAGGTGGTAAGGGACCTAGCCAGGCAACACCCGTGTGTCCCAAAGTAACTTCCTCCTGAACACCTAGTACTTCACTGCCTAATGTCTAGCTTCAGGTGAGAAGAGGAGCCGGACACCGCTCTGACCAAGTGCCTTCCTTCTCTGGCTTCGTGTCCCCTGAGGGAAGGTGGCAAGGGGCAAGGCCAGGCCAACCATGAGTCAACTTCCACTGTGCAAAGAGGAGCAACCTTACCTTTGACCTCGATCCTTCCATCTCCTGTGGCTCCTGTCCTTTGAGGGAAAAGGAAGATGAAAGTCAGGGAGGAATGGGCCTTACTTTTGCTTGAAATGTTTGACTCCCATCTCCCTTGGTGCCCTTTACTGAGTGAAGAATAGTGAAATGGTGTCCCCCATTTGACCTTGTGCCTTCCATCTCATGCCACACTGGTCACCAGCCTCCTTTGAGAAGGGTGACACCTTCTGCTCAGTGATGAACCTTCTTACACCTACCTGGTCATACCTTATGCATCCCAATGACTCCGAACTCCAGTAGATCATCATCCAAAGCCCATTCCCCAAAACCCACCACTGCATTCCTTATTCTCATCCTCCTCAACCTTCCCAGTACAAAGTTCCAACCAAACCCTTCCACTGTGCCCTCTGGAATGCCTATTCCATAGGCAACAAACTTCCCTTCATTCTAAATCTTTTCCTCTCCCACTCCTCCCTCCCTCTAACAATTATTGAAATCTAGCCCCCAAGATGAAACAACCTCCCTGGCCACCCATAATCCTGTGAAGTTCCAGTGAAGACATTGTCACTCATTCCCTTTAGCTCACTGGTTGAGGCACGGGAGTTGGAATACTCCTTGCTCCCCATTGCATTTTCATTTTTCCCCCCAACCCTTCCCACCCCTAACTTCTGTTTCTTTAGAAGGCACTACCTGGGTGTACGGAGTGTTCTGGGAGATCTAGCATCTCTGGTGTGATGGCTTGCCAAGCCCTCTTCAGGATTGCTCATCCATCTTTGACAACTCTCACCTGTGGCTCCAAGAAATTGTAGCACGCCCCAGGAAACTGTCTTGGTAGAACTGGCTAAACCAGATTGAGGGTAACTGACAGGCTTCAAAACCATCATTCAGTTAGGGAAATGTCTACTCCAAGCATGTGAAGACTTCCCTGATACAATGGGTAGATGATAAAAATTTATTCCAATAGCCAAGAAGCTGGCTGAAGCAGGTGCTGTGGAACGTTTAGAGCTTGGTCGCACATTGAATGCCAAAGTCATTCACTGCATCCCCAACCACCACCAGTTGTCTTGACTTTTGTCTTGCCACTGGACTTTGATGACTGAAGAGAGAGCGAGGCTGACGATTTTGTGCAACTCTACCTCACTTAAATTCAATTTGCGCACAAATCAAGACATAACTTATGATTTCATTGGTCCTCTTCAGAAAGACAGAGGGCACTACAATCCTTCCAATCTCCATGTCATCCAGGCTCACAATCTACATGTCATCTTCAACTCCTCACTATCTCTCACCCTAACCCCTATCACATACCCCGACATAACCAAACTTTTGCCAAGGCCTGCCAATGTTACTTTTGCACCATCTCTTGAATGTGCTCTATTCCAGTGCTTCTTAAACTCAACCCACAGCACTGAAGGGGTCTCGAGTGTATACAGTTTAAGGAGCTTTGCATTCTCTCCGGACAGTCACCTCTCTGATGTAGTCCCTTATTACCTCGTGCCTGATCTACTGCAATAACCTGCTCGTGGGTCTGCCAACCTTGAAATCACTCCCCCTCCAATCTCTCCTCCATTCAGCCACCAGTTATTTTCCCAAAGCCTACATTGTACCCCAACCCCATATACACTCAAAAAGCTCCAATGGCTCCCTATTGCCTCCAGGATCAAATAGAAAATGCTGTTTGGCATTCAAAACCTTCCCATGACCCAGCTGCCTACCTTTGCCGTCTTCTTAAACCTTTCTCTCCACCGTGTATTCTTGGATCCAGTGACACTGGTCTCCTTCCTGTCCCACAAACAAAATGCTGCCAGCATTTTCACTGGCTATGCCCCATGCCTGTAATGTCCTCCCTCATTTCTGCCTATTAACTCCCCTGGCTTCAAGTTCTAACTAAAATCCAGTGTTCTACAGGAAGCCTTTCTAAACCCCTTTTAATTCTAGTGCCTTTTCTGTTACATATTTCCCTTTTATCCTGTATGTAGCTTATTTTGTACACATTTGTTTGCTTGTCTCCCCTACTGATTTTGAGATTGCTTTTTGCCTCCTTCCGTACTCTGAGCACTTAGCACAGTGTCTGCTTAATAAATGTTTAGTGACTGACAGACATATATCTTCATATCCACCAGCCGAAGTCTTTCTCTTCTTCAGGTGCCACCTTGTCTGCGAATATTTCTATGACCTCAGCTACACATGAGTAACTCTTGACATTCCAGGTAAGAAAGTGAACTAGGAACCAAACGCCTCTAGTGCCAGCAACGGATGTAATTTATGAGGAGTTCCAAGGTCAAACCTGCATTTGAAAGAATACAAGCCAGCAGTGGGAGAACCACTAAGGAATTTCAGATCCAAGCCTCTTGAAGCCAGCAGAATTCCTGATTAACACGAGTTCCTGGAGGAAGAATGAAGTGGAGCAGACTTTCCATCAACCAACAAGCGTTTATTAAGGGCTAATATGTGTCAGGCTCTGGAGATACAAAGACATAAATGAGTGTCCTGGGCTTCAACATCACCTTCTATCTGGGGAGACAACACGTACATGCGAAACACACATAAAATAAATACTAGGTAGTCTTCAAGGGTAGGAAAGTCTCACATTGAAGGTGGTGCAGGAGCAGTTTTTAAACAACAGATTCTAAGAGGCCAAGGGAGATGCATGTAGGGTATGGGGCAACAGAATGTGTAAAGGCACAAAGAGGTATAGAAGGCCCCTCTGAATGAACTTGGGAGTGCAAGGAGAGTAACAAAAGATTAGAAAGCAAAGTTGGGCCAAGGGTATCTATGAACTTAAAAGTCAAACACTTTATATTTGATCATAAAGACATCCGAGTTTAAGTAAAGACATGGTCAAAGAGCCTTAGGAATTGCTTTAACAGCTGTGAGGATGGATTAGAGTGATAAAAGATGAGGCATAGATGAGAAGTGCTGGAACTAAGAAGGTGACTGAGTGGAGAAAAGGGGGAGGAGGCAGAGCTGTTATGAAGGTGAAAACACCACCTGGGGACGCAACTGGTGAAGTACAGTGGATAGGATATGGGTGATGACCTAGGAAAGGAGAATGAGGAGCGCTCAGGTAAGAGGGGAACCAGGGGAGAATAGTGTCTTGAGATTAAGATGTGATGGCCAACAGTGCCAAATGTAGCACTTAAGCCTGCAAGAGTCAGAACTGAGCAAACATATGACAAATAAAAGGTCATTGGTAATGTTGTAGAGAATAGTTGCAACAGAGTAATAAGATCAGAAGCAAGATGTCAGGGCTGCAAAGTGGAGGGAAGGAGCATAGGCAACCTGTGTTTGCCTGTGAAAGAAGGAGAAATACTGGACAAGAACTAAAGGGTGCAATGAGTGTTCTTTGAATCAAGCAAGTGTGCCAAATGCTGAGGATTTATGCACAAAGAATAAAAGGATCTCTACCCATAAGGGGCTTATATTTTAATGGGGGACAAAAGTATCTACATAAAAATACACAGCATAGCTAATACACATATATACAAAATAATTAAGCACATGGTTAGGGAAGGAAGGCACTGGCAGTTGTGGGGCTCAGTAAATTCTTCATTTAGTTAAGTAGTGCTTGGTTGGTGTCCTAGAACCTAAGAGGTTGTCTAGGTAAGGAAGGGCTGCATCCAATGCATAGGGAACCAGTGAAAACATACTAAGGAAATGGAATCAGTGAGGAACCGGGATTTGGGTGGGTCACAGAGTGTGGAAAGGGGAGTAACATCCAATGAGTCTAGTAAGATAGGCTTGGGATCAGGATATGTAAGGCTTTACAAACTAGAGTTTAACAATTAGGAAGAGGCAGTACTTCTGTGCGGATAGAAGGGCTTAAATTACAAACAGCAAGATCACAGCATGAGAGTGAGGAGTCCAAGGAAATACTGAAGGTATAAACTTGGAAGACTGGAAGGATGGTGGTGCCTTTGACAGAAATATGGAAGCCTGAAGAGGGAGGGCTTAGGGGGAAACAGAACGAGTTGTGTTTTGAAGTGCCCAATAGGCAACTGATTGGTGTGGTACTAAAAATCAAGGGAGAAACTAGGGCTGGATAAATCTGGGAGCCAAATGCTTAGATATTGATAGTTAAACTTATGAGAGCTGATGGGGTTATCAAGTATGAGATAGCATAGAGAAAAGGGCCTAGAGCAACATTCAGTTAGGGAGCATAATATAGATGAATCAACAAAGGAGAAATAATGGGACAGGTACTAGGACAGGGAAACTAGAATAGAGTCATGAAAATGCAGACAGATTATCTAGGAAAAGTTGGTCAAGTATCAAATGTATGAGACAGGTCAAGAATGATGAAGACTAAGAAAGTACATCAGGTTTGGCAATTATGAAAGTAGTTTCAGTTGATTGATGAGGCTGAAAGCCAGATGGCAAAGGACTGGTGAGTAAAGCAGAGGTACTAAGAGGAAGCAGTTAAGGATAAATAGCTTGTTTTAGGAGTTTGAGACAGGGCAGAGATATATTGAATGGCAGTTTTAAGGGATGATAAGGTTCCCTAAAGCAACATTTTTTAAACTATGGGCTGTGATCCCATATAGGATCGGGAAAAAAACTGGCAACAGTAAAAGATTTCTTAATGCACAATGACCAAAAATTAAAAATTAAATGTGCAATGAATCCGAGGTGGTTTCTGGCAGCACTTGCCTGTGTGAAATGTGCACACTGAGCATGCCGTCACACCAGGCCAACTAACACTCCTGAAAGGCAAAGGAGTTACGAGTGGAAAAAGTTTAAAAAGCCTTGCCTTAAAGGATGGAGACTTGGGCATGTTTGAAGGCAATAATGGGGGGAAAGTTGATAGGAAGCAATGAAGATTCATTAGAATGGGAGATGATTGAAGATGTTATCTGCTGGACGAAAGAGAGGATGAAATCAAGTGCATATGCAAGGATGATTTTGGCATGACAAGGGGCCAACTCTTGGGACTAAGGGAAAAGTGGGAGATGTTAAGAGGTTTTGAGATGAAGAAAACAGGAGTACTTTACAGCAAACAGATGGGAAAGATTTGGGAATGTTGGTAGCCTGTAGGAATCCACAGCAAGAGATTAAAAAGAATACCAGAGGATAGATTGTGGGGAAGTCTGCAAAGGATGGGATGAGGTGTACCTGTTGAGGGGTTGGTCTTGGCCAAAAGGGCCACTGTTTCATTGGATGCTAGCGTAGAGGAGGAGATGGTGGGAGGAGAAAATTAACTGCTTATAGCCAACATCTCTTTTCTCAATAAAGCATGAACTAGGGGAGGTAAGGAACAGAAACCCTCAGTGGTGGCGTAAGATAGAGTCTCATATAGAAGGAGTAAAAACATTTCCTTGCCAAGTTCAGATTAGACAACATATTTGCAGCGCAATTTGTTATTTCATGATTTCATTGAGACCAGTTTCATTCAGCAGAACGAGGAGCACCAGAGGTGGATGAGGTTAAGTCAAGGTTAGCCAGGTGTGACCATTGAGAGGACCAGGAGAAAAGGATTAGGGAATAGAGAATAGTATGAAGTTCAATTGGCTACCTGTAGAACAAGACTGGAAATCATGATGTCCTGGGAGTTTACTAATTAGCAAAAAAGAGATAAGCACAATACAGAAGATTGTCTGGACCATACCCTTCCTTGCTGTGTCTCAAAGAGGTGGGACTGTGCAGACCCAGGCAAGTCAACTATAGTGACTCTAAATCACTTCCCGGATGGGAGTATCTCACTGGATAGGCTTGTTGGAGGTGGGGGGAGATGGCAGAGGGATTGACACCAGTGAAGAAAGGTCTAAGGATTTAGGTTTATGGTTTTGTATTTTCTCTTGGGTGAAATAAAACTTATCCTTTATTTGATAGTCCAAATGGTTGTAGGAGAGCTGAGGGCCTTTTACTTTTCTGCAAAGATACGTAGTCAAACTTTGATGTTCTCTGGGTAAACATTGGATGGGGATGGATAAGAGCCTGTGTGACTATGTGAAAAGCTTCCAATATTGAACTTCAGTTCTTGGTCACAAGTTACTTACTAATGTAATTTTATTTTCTTAATACCTCTAAGTTCTTTGAGGGTAGAGATTGTAGTCAATTTTATTTCCAGTGATTCTGGGACTAAGGGTTTCATCTCATTGTTCCAATGACATACAACAATTCCATAGAGAAGCTTTGAGGGCTCCAGCCAAGACCACAACCAATGGAAGCTATTTGGGCAAAAGCCAGACAATCCTACCTAAGAAAGACCCCACAGACTTGGATGGAGCAACTTTTGGGCTCCAATTTAAGTATGGGGCCCTACAGTTGAGGAACCTTGGACATGGGAACGGCCACGTCAGTCTCTCCCAGAGCCCACTGCAATTCTCCACTGCAGGCTAAGGCTTAGAACATAAAAGAGCAGGTGGCCTAATTAGGGCAAACTTTCAAGAAGAGTCTCATGAATCTGGTAACCTGTAATTTTTAAATATAACATTTTATTGCTTAGATGGTTCAATACAGAACAGCTTAACTTTCATTCTGAATTTGGAAGTACTGTACAACTAAATAAAAAGAGGAATAAAAAGTACCAAAACTTGTGATTCTCTGTTCATGTGGCATAGACCAGTTTTGTACACAACTTGTAGCAGCAGTTTTAAGTTCCCTTTAGAAAAATATGAATTCTACACATTTATTATTGTTTCCTGTTTAATGCATGGGCTGAAATCACTAAGATTAACTTCCTTCTTGAAGAAAGAGAGGGAAAGAGGATACAGACAAACAAGGGTCAGAGAATGTGATGAATCTTTCTGAAACTGGCATTCGACTGTCATATAGCTCCCCAAAGCTATTAGAAAAAATAGCCCCACAGAGTTTTCTCTGCTTTGCTTCACAGTCAAGTGTTTAATGTAGTGATTGAATTATCTCAGCATTAAGTCCATTAATCAAAAAACAAAACAAAACAAAAAAAACTTGCACCTCAGACACAAAAAAATTTCAGAAGATCCATTTTTTTTTTTTGTAAAAGCCCTGAGAGGAAAAAAAAAAGAATCAAACAAAATGTATAGAGACAAATTAGCTGAACATGCAAACTAAGTCTAAGATTCACCCATAGTTTAAACACATTATAAACTTCACAGTTTAATATTGGTGGGGGGAGAAGGAAAGGGAGGGAGACCAACAAACAGCAACAAATCTTCAAATTCAACTAATAAAAATGTCAAAAAAAAAATGTGGCAAGACTTTATCATCTACTAGGATATAAAGACTAAGTAAAGCTTTAGATCAATAGTGATTATTGCTAGCTGTCGTCCCGGCGGCACTGCTGGGAGCCGATGATCTGCTACATCTCACTGCAGCACAGACATTAGTGATGGCTATCCCCCCACAATATTGCGCAGTTTAGCGTGGAGAGCCACAAAAGAAACAAACCGACAAAAAAAGTCCCACAAGAAATCCCAAACAATAACATCAACAGCAAGCAAAGGAAAATGAAGGGAGGATGTGTGAATTAGATTTCGATTCTAGAGATCACGCCCTGTTTAAGTTGGAAAGGGAATCATTGGTTCTGATTTGTTTTTCTCTGGAGGAAAACCGTGTTTTTAAACTGGTCCAGACATCCCCAATACATTTTTTTTTTTAAATAGCCTATCTCAACCTTTTTTCTTTTCATATCACTTTTCATTATCTCAAGAACATTTATCTTCTTTTGTGAAGTCTGGGCAGTTAAGTTTCCACCTCCAGGAACTGGTGAAGAATTAGAGGACAAAAATTTTTAAAAAGGATGTATACGTTTGTGTCTACATATATACAGACATAGGGAAAGAGGGAGGGTGGTTTAAGGCCAAAAAGAGGAAGAAATCTTAGAAAGGAAACGAAGGAAAAAGAGGTGGGAAGGGCTGCAGCTGTAGTTGCAGTGGGAGAGGGGGAAGAGGGGTTCAAGTGGAGGAACGGCACAGGGCAGCCCTGGCAATACTATTGGCTCTATGTCCTAGAGGTCACGACTGAAGGACAAAAAAAGATGCTGAACATGAGCTCAGCTACAGTAGGATACATTTTTTTCTACCCCTCGATGTTGGTGGCTGCAGTGAATTTCACTGCCTACATGGGTGATACCTCTAAGAAAATTCTTCCTCTCTGCATCTAGGGGTTCAGATTCTCGAGAGGGCATCAGAAATGACATGTTCATCTTCAAGCACCAGCTCAAACTGCACTTGGAGATTTATTACCAGTAGTAGTATTTCCTTGCTTTGCAAACAGGACAGTAGCAAAAATGGGTTAAGGCTTGCATTTCATTGAGCTGGAAGACTGAATACCTTATTTGGGAGTAACAGATTTCATCACTGCCTTTCTTTCCACAAAAATTGTTTGCAGTCTTTCCTGATGCACTTGGAGGTCCCTCTCATCCCATTACCTCTACCACCTCCCCATGGGAGTGCATTTGTTTGCACGCACACACATACTCCAATGAGTATGTTTCTCTCTCTCTCTGTCTGTCTCACTCACTGCTGAGATGTTCCCCTGTACACTGGTGGTGATTACTAGTTGGCCTCCACTTTATTTCTCCAGTCACTAAGGAAGGAAGGGTTCATTTAGGTTCAGTAGAAGAACTGCAATGTGAGGGCTAGTGAACTAGTGAAAGCTGTAATCAAACATTTACACAGGGATCCAAAGCTGCATCATAGATCTCCGTGGACAAATATTGCCCATTGGTTTCTGCTGACTGCAGAGACTAGCAACTGATGAATTTTAAAATAATAATAATAATAATAATAATAACAATAATAATAATAATACATATATTGAAGCAAAAAAAGAAAAATCAAACATATGACAGCTGTGCATAATTTCCATAGGTTAAGTTGCTAAGGTAACTCTTCTCTGTATGCTCAATCCAGAAAAAAAGTCTTAAAACATTGAACAATAACACCATTTCTAATGCCGAAAAGAGTGGAAACAAGTATGAGGTTGAAGCTAGCATCTTTCCTGGTTTTGGCTTGAACCAATTTTGAATACCTTCATTAACCACTTGTCTTAATACCTGGAACCAGATTAGAGCTCCATCACATAGTAAGTACAAAAATGTCTCTGAGAAATTAACATCTCATCCAAATTTTCCTCTGGTATATGAAATTCACATCATTTTCTTCCAGTTATTAGCTGTGGTATCCAAGGGCATTGGTTTCTTTTCCCCATTTCCAGCTCACAAAACAAAACACGGCAACTATCAAAGTTCCAAGCGAACAGGCTCACGCACACCAATACAAAAAGGTAACATTAATGCTTAAATGAAAAAGGTCCTCTCCAAATAATTCATTAAAATATTTTTTTTTAAAAATCATTTTGGAAAAAAAAAAAGTCAATGATACCAAAAGATTTAATAAAGTAGTAAGGCACTCGGAATCAGTATATCCTGTAGTCTCTTGCATCATTATGCTGAAAGGGCTGTGGCACTGGAGTCAGTCTGCCATACTTCTTTTCTTCCTTTCCCTCTCTCTTTCACTCCCTGACAACTGGAGTCACTCAGGAGGCCCAGTGTGCTACAGATCTGGAGTACTTTTGCTCTGCTGGCTTTAGTCTATGTGCTGGGGACAGACGGGTGATTGGGTCACCTCCCCTGAGTCATTCCATTCCCACAAGTTGGGGTGCACTATCTGAAGAGGCAAGAATGTGGTTTGCAGAAGGCCTCTTGCTGTGCATGTCCAACAGATCCTGAATGAAGCCCGAGGGGCTCTCACGATCTGTGCTACCCTGAGACTCCTGCTCCTTTGTGCTGGCCCCTGCGGCTGGTTTCTGGGCACTTTTGCTGGACTCCGCTAGACAAACACCAGTCGTCCTTCCACCTGATTTCTCCTCCTGACGACCCGAATCCTTGGCTGCGTTGGCCAAGCTCTCTCTCCGGCTTCGAGTAATGGTGGAATGGCTGTTGAGATTTGGAGTGGAGTCTCCCTCATTTTCTGAGAGTGGATTGTTGCCACTGTGGATGGACTCATTCTCACTGTCATCCTCACCCCGATCTTCCTTGTCACTTTCCTTCCCATGGTGCCTTGTGTTTTTTACTTTCTGATGGATACGCTGATGACGAACCAGGCTGTGCTTCAAGGTGAAGGTCCGCTCGCAGGTCTGACATTTATAGGGTCTTTCCCCTGGAGTAACAGGAGAAAAGAAATTAATTTCTGCACACATTAGTCTTACTCTAAGAATAGCATCCTCATGCTGTATTACATAGCATCTGCCAATGTAAAAGACTTGATATCTAAACTGATAAGGAAAAAAGATATGGGTTAAAAAAAAAATCATTTAAACTTGAGAGAGAATCTCCTTCTTTGCCTTAGGTGGGGAGATGTAGGAAACAGGAAGGAATGGAGCAATGTTTTATCACTTTGAGTTTCCTGATCCCACTTCTTAGTGATGCAGGCCAAAACCCACAATCTTCATTTAGGCTTCTTGATTAATGTCTTACTGAGTATACTGAATGGCTCCATGTAGCTATCTGAGAAGCCTATGGGAATATATTTCCCTTCTCCCCAGGGTAGGCACTAATGTTAAAGGCCCAAGGAGAATGCACAGAAATTATAAGTAACATTTAATAAATAGGGTACTTCCCAGGAAACACTCTGTGGGCTTGTAATGGAACAGCTGCATTCCTTAGCCCCTACTGAGCAGCTGAGGACACCACCTGCTCAGAAACCTAAGAATATCTCCTCTGAAGAGGTTCACATTCCATTGTCCTGTAAAACCCCTCACGTACAAGCAGGAACACTAGGGTGTAGTTCACCATGCATGAACTTAATGTGAGTGTGTGTGTGGAAGAGACAGAGAAAAAGCAACATGCAGCAAAGATGAACTAGTCTAATTCTAAGAAACTGAATTACAATAAGCATCCGGGACTCATTCTACTGGTCAGAAGAATTAATTTACTAGATCTGACTATGATTTATTTGAGGATTATGGTATAACCTCCAGAGATAATGAGAGCCAAAAGGAGTGAGGTCACAAACTTATACAAACACCCCAATAATAACAGACTTATCATATGTTCTGCTGCAGATTTCCTGAAAACCCTGCTGAGGTGCAAATGCAACAGTACATTACATCAGGCCAGATCCACATTCAAGAAAGCAAAGAGCCCAGATGCCCAAGTGAACAGTGGCAGAAACTTCCCAGTGAATTTTCCCAGTTCCTTATCAGGGACTGCTGGTACTACTACATCAACATACTTGTTTGGGAATACACACAAGGGGAAAGGCAATCACCCTCCACACACACTAAACCAAATTTTGCACTGGACCTACAACACTGGCCTTGGGGGTGGGACAGTATGCTAAGAGTGGAAAACAAACAAAGTTTGCTAATAATGCTCCTGGAAAAGAGCAATGATAAGCTGGCATTTAAACACTGTGCTTTATCACTGACAAATCACTTTCACATACACGATTTCATTTGATCCTCTAAACAATCCCTATTACATAAAGGTATTATCCCCATATTACACTGGGGTCAGGGAGGTGGCATGATTGAGCCAAAGCCAGACAACACAGTGGTCAGGAAAACTGGGATCTCAACATGTTAAAATTCCTAACCCAAAAATCGTTTTGCCTATAGAATATGGACTCTTATCACAGTCCTTGTAAAATCAAACTCATTTCACTATCAAGAAATTGAAGAAGCAATTTAAATTGAAAATGATGTGTAAAATGATAGGTAATACACAGCACACAAAGATTTGGGGAATGATGACACATCTGTGTCGCAGATAGCTTCCGTCTTTGAGCCTAGCAGCACCATTACTTATGGTTCCGACTGAACTGATTCCAAACGAAGGGACAAGAATTGTCTTGTTTCTATAAAAATAAAGCCTAAACTGGAGTGGTCAGATCAGGACTTCTACATGCTGGGTAGGCCAGTCCTTCCCAAAGAATCATGGTGAAAGGGAATTTATCAAAAGTGTCCTGGAAAAGGTTAAGCTGATTTCATCTAGGTTTTGCAGAGCCCTCTTTCTCAGGTAGGGCCCCATTCTGTTTGTTTCTATTTTACATTTTTAGAGGCCAAGATTCATTTGCTGCCACCCTTCAGATTCAGTATCTTTACCTGTATGGGACCTCATGTGTCTCGTCAGGTCTTGCAGGGACCAGAATCTCTTATTGCACACCGTGCAGACCTTCTTCCTCTTGTCGGCCTTGGTGATGACACTCTTTGTCCCGTTTGTCTTTGGTTTCTTGTCATCGTCACTCTTCTCAGAGGACTTCCTCTCTGAGGCGCCCTCCCCTTCAGAGACACTCTCGCTCTCCTCATTCTCCCTCCCACCAGGGACTTCGCCCCCCCAGGGGGATTCCACCACCTTCAAATCCACTGGGCTTTCATCCAGCTCGAGGGCTGGCTCCACAGCGCAGGGGCTGGAGGAGTCCTCAGCACCACCACTCCTGCCCTCTTCCTCACTGGCTTTCTCCTCCTTCTGCTCTTCGTGAGTGTGGGCTTTCTGGTGGCGCGTTAGGGTTCCAGGAAACTTGAAGCTCTTGCCACAGATGTCACAGGCATGCTTCTTGTCCTGCTCAGAGGGGCCTCCCCCACCAGGCACTCCAGGGTTGCTCTCAGCCAGTTTGAAGTCCATCAGCTTGCTGGCAAAGTTGAGGTCCAGGCTTTTGTTGCTGACAGAATCTTCCTCTGGGCCTTCGGGATCCTCCTGTTTGCCTTCCACAGCTTCCTTCTCTTCCTCCTCCTCCTCCTCCTCATCCTGCTGATCCTCCCCTCCCTCCTCTTCTCTTCCCTTAGGTGAGGGTATTTTCTCCTTCACCTCTTCTGTGGGATGGCCTTTTGTTTCCTGGCTGTGTTCAGGAGCGCCCTCTGATTGCTGCTGCTCTTTTTCCCTTGAGGTGAGGTCAAGCACTTCATTGCCTATAACTGGGATCTCTGGGTCCGACTGGCTATCTGTATGGAAAAACACAGAAGGGAGAGTTTCAATAAAAATGTATGCTAAGCCAAGATCCCTTTGCAAGGGCCCTGGGGGCCATAGCTGACATTCATTGACCAACCCACAGCCCCAGTAAAGCTATTTTTCTTCCTTGGCCCTAATCCACCTCTGCTGATCCACTGAAGGCCAAAGCATGTAAATTCTTCAAGGCCAGGTAAGCCTCATTTTCAGGATTAGTCTGACAAGGAAGGCAAATCAGTCAGAACTTCTACACAAACTATCCTGTCTCCTTAGGGGTGCTTCTCAACTCCTGATGCTCACAACTCACAGAACTGCTTCACATAGGAAGCCTGGCTCCCAAAGGTGGAAAAACAAGGAAAGTGTGAGTAACTCAATGAAGACAGAGATAGTGGATCTGTAAGAAAGGAGAGCTTTGTGCATTCAGGATAGGCACAGCTTTTGGGTTACTTAGTAAGTATAGTTTAAGTTGCTTAACTACGCATTTGGATGACTCAAGCATGCATGCACAAACACACACAAATCCTCTTCTCCCATCCTCCAAAATGCTCAAATACACATTTGCATAAGAATAATACAGAAATGAACCCCTAGCATGTATTTGGAAAGTCTAGTAAAATAGTGTTATCTACACGGCACTCTAAATGATAAAAATCCTGCTGCAAAATATTTCAGAGGTAGAAGGAGACAACAGTTCCCTTGAAAAGTATTTCTCATTGTTTTTAGGAACACATTGAGGTGATGTGTGTTTAAATTACAGAAGAAAAAAAATCATTCTGGAGGTAATAATATGTTGTGATAATCATGCTGTCATGTGAAATTTGACTGGAATAAGGAAGTAGAGAATGCTGCAAGATTGGTTTTGTGAAGCACATGGTAAAATGAAGATTTTGAAAATTTTATGAGGGTAGAGAACTTCAGGCTGAGGCCGCTGCACAATTTTTGGAGTCCATGTTTTTGTATCTATTTCTAATTAGATACATAGCATGAACTAAATAGCACTGGATGTCAACCATATTTGTAAATGTAAATAACACATTTTATTCTGGGGCAGCTCGGGGATGCAGTGGACAGAGCACTGGGCCTGGAGTCAGGAAGACTCTAGTTCAAAACTCATCTCAAAGACTTACGAGCTATGTGACTCTGGGAAAGTCATTTAACAGGTTTACCTTAGCTTCCTCAATGGCATAATGGGGTTAAAAACACCTGCCTCCTAGATTTCTTATGAGGAACAATTGTGGCAACATGCGTAAAGAGCTTAGCATAGTGCCTGGCTGTGCGCTGCTGGGTGCCTGCCATAGCACCACATAGTAGGTGCTGTACAAATGCTAGCTATCATAATTAATGCTGTTGCACCACCTACCACAGTTAACATGTATTTTAATTTAATTATCAAATGTACTCATTCCAGCAGCTATAACACAGAAGCAAAAACACTTAAAGTGCTATACTTAATTCAGAAAGATTTGCTATTTACTAAATTGCTAATAGCTTAGTTAAAGCACTGTCAGATTTTACAAACTGCTGAGATAAAGGCTTAGATAAATTCTCTGCAGTCAAATAAACATTAGGTTATGGTCCAAATATCTTATAGGTTTTCCTTTGTCAAGATGAAAGTTTAGGAGTTGTAAATGTTGTTATAATGCAAAAACATCAAAATGCCAAGAACTGTAATTACATATTTTGATTCTAAATTGTGCTTTCTTCCTTAATGCTCTCTGCAGCTGAATAACACAAATCCCAAGGCATTATCACAGGACTGGCCACTTACGTTTCACAATTGAGACTTTTTACATGAGTAGATTATGAAAGGATGCTGTAAAAATTACAATTAAACTCATAGCTATCATTCTTCTCAAATTTCCTATCTTGTATTGCTTGTCACCCAATCTGTTGTGATGGAATGAAAAATTCATGAGCTATTCCTTCCTTGTATTTCAGTGATTTTCATATCTCTAGGGACACACAATTATTTATTCTACAAGTATGAATCAAGGGCTTACTATGTTCAGCATACTTCAGGGGCTTCCACTTAGCCTTAGAATCCAGGTAGCTTAAAGTCAAATGTCTATCTCCTACTTGGACTTAGGAAATCAAGGTGTAACTTTCCAAAATTTTATCTAAATTACGTATAATTGGCTTTCCATTTTACTCCACTCTTCTTTGGCTAGACTTTATACGAATCTCTATTTCTGGGGGAGAATTCTGAATGTCTTCTATTGGGAAAGTACTAGTATATGTATAATATTTTGAGAATGATTTAAAGAAAAGAATTATCATTCTAATGTATGAATACCCTGGCCCAGCTCAGTGTTTACATCATGTGCACATAAATCAATGTAAGCCATACTGACTAATCAAAGAAGTTCCCCTATATTTAAAACATACTAGGAAAGGAAACATTTAAAATTTAATTAATTCAAAATCCACTTATCCCTCCCCCCCCAAAAAAATTCCTCTATGCTCAACTCTCAAATGTTTACATTTTCTACAGGTTATAAGACTGTGACTTTGTAAATGTTACTTCCTATTGTCGCTGATACTTTCTTCAGATTAATTCTTTTATCATATTTAAATAACATCAACACTTCCTGTCCTGTCCCCTGCCCCAGTTTGTTTTTGGTTTTTTTTTAGGGACTCTTCTGTAAACAATAAGATTCTAGAATCAAAGATTAATAAATAACTGGGTAATTTTCTCATTTACGTCACTATCACATCACGGATAATTTAGTTTCCTTTAAATATTCTAAAACTTCAGATAATACACACTAAAATAAAACTTATATTAAGTAGGAATGTTTTATCATAGAGTAGCTAAAACTAATCCTCTTAAGATCATTCTGTGAGTCTAAGCAACCAAAATTATTTAACAAGTTATTTATTTGATCACATTTCATCTCCCCTACTCCCCAAATATCTTGCTTTCTCTTCTATTTCAGCTATCAAAATTCTGCTACAATGCCTCACTTAAGATCACAAAACAAAGAAATTGCCAGTTAAGCATCTATATTTTTTATAACTTCACCTAGTTGTCATCTTCCCTATTAGTCTCTTAAGTTTCTTGAGAATTTTTAGCCCCAGCCCTTAGCATAGGACCATGGTACATTATATTTTATTTAATTTAATTGAAGTTGCTTTAAAATATTGGAAATCAATTCCCAGTCCTCTCTAATAATATTTCTTAAATCTCTTTTTCTCCAAAGTCTCTTTAAGCTTGGTAACTCAGGTGAGGATAAATCTATAGTCAGTCCTAATATGAAGCAAAGAAGGTAAGTCACTTCAATCTCTTCTAAATTTCTGCAGCTTCCTGTAAATAAGTTATTCACTTATCACCAGGACAACCTACTATTTTATATAGCTTGTCTTCTCAGTCAATGAAACTGATAGTTAGAAAGTTCTTTGTGTCTGTATTTCACCTAAATTGCTCAAGTTCTTAAAAACACACACACACAAATTTCCTGTGTGAGGATGCTAAACTTACCTCAGGGAAACAGGAGAATCAGTCTGTCAGTGAAGGAAAACAAGCTTCCTGTTCTTAGACCTCAGAATTTTTAAACCTTGACTAGAAGAGTGTGAACTTCATATTCTCTAGTACTGACACAGATCGATACTGTCAGCTTGTCAGAGAAAGACCATTCAGAGTAAATTTAAACCCAAGTTTCTGTTTAACTATGACTTAGCCAATCATTTAAAGCTACCTTTTCCAAAATTTTATTATTGTTATTTCTGCTTTCACTAAAAGGGAGACAGGAGGCAGAAGTGGGAGAAGACTTGGATGTTAACTTTTTTTAAACATCTGCTTATTATATGTTCTTTTATTATCTTGCATTACAGCAAGGTTCAAACTTGACTATATAAAAGCATATTTTGGAAATTCAGAAAAATGATCTATTTGATAATGTATACAATAGGCAGTATAGAAATCCCTAAGCCTTTCTACATCTACAACTCCTTTTTTGCATAAGCCTTCCCAAAGTTCCACTTTTAACTTGATAGGAATCCAGAATAATTTGTCTTTTCCATTGCCATCACCTTGCTTTTATAATATTCTACGCAGAACCTCTGAATTCTACTTCTCCGACCCCTTTTCCTCCCCTTGACTTAAATCTCAACTATCTTTCACACTATAGATGATTACCACTATTAAAGCAGATACATACTTTCTCTTTACTGCCTTCCCCATGTCCATCTCAAGTTCATTGTTTTAAAGGGGTGCTCTCAGATAAAAGGATAAACATGCTTTGGGTGAAAAATTTAGAAACACAAAATGTGCATATGGATCCAACTTAAAAAAAAAAACAACTTTAAAATTTGCTAATTAAACTTTAGACCAACTTTTAAAAAAATCATGTTAGGTGGCTAAAAATTGTTTCTATCACTGGAAGGTTAAAAGTGCTCTCACTGTATATCAAGGTGTTTAATAAAAAATATATCTTAAAAAGCCAAGGGCTGTCTTTATCATGCCATATAACAGCTGAATTATCCACTTGGAACTACTGTTTGTGAGTGACTTCAGAGGATTCATAAGCCATGAAATACGGAATTAGCATTGTGGCCAAAAGTTAAACATTAACATTTGCAGCATCCTCATGGATTTCCTGGAGGCTGAAGAGTAAATCAGGCCATGAGATTACTTTTATTCTGGCTCATATGGAATCCAAGAATGAGCAAAATCCCTAAATCTGCTTTTACTATGCAATAAAGAAAGCAAGCTAGTTTTCCAATGTAAAATGCAATTAAGTGGAAGAGTGGGATAAAGACAAAACATAAATAAAAATATTTACAACATAACATATATGAAATATAAAATGTTAAGTGGGAATAAAGATAGGATAAAAGGCATAGCTTTATGCCTATATAACTTTTAAATAATTAGAAAGTCTAAATCGAAACCACTTTACTTACACAGTAAATTCACTCAGGCTAGGGCAGTGAGAACTACGCATACCAAGAGCCCAAGATTCTACTTGCCTTTTCCTTAGTCATTCTTGCATTATAAGCAAAGAATAAGGAAGAAAGAGTTATTTTTGACTCAATCATCTCAATAGCATCTCCCAAGAAAATGGAAAACGTTGTTGATTGACAAATGGGGACCTTCCTCTCCTCCTCTTACCAACTGGTAAGACTGTCAGCAGTTTCTAAGAAGGACCCGCCTGGTCTGGCCTGCTGCACACTTAATTCGAATACTGGGCTTCCCACCCCAACCAACATTCAAACTTTTATGCCCAGTGAGACCAAGAAAAATCGAGAACTGTCCAAGTCCCAAGGCTGCAATTACTACTGTAAATCTTATGTAAATTTTATGGGAAGGTGAGAACTCCCAGATTTCCCCCCAGTCCCCCAAAAGGTCAAATGTCAAGGATTTCATCACTAAAATATTCAGAAGACTTGTACCCAGTTCTTGCAATACTGTTACAAAATATCAGCAATATTGTTACTAAACAACTACCAGCCATATTCACTGAGCAAATTCGTACCCACTCTTGGTGGGAGGTGAGGAGCCGAGAGGAGGAAAGCATATGTGTGGTGAACATGAGCAAACACAGAAGACCACGGGCAGAGCAAGCTAAAGGGGTAGAAACTGCAGCAGCCAGTAATTGCTCTGGGAGAAGCTGGAGGAACAAAGCACGAGTCAGCATAAGACATCTTGTTCAGGTAGAGCAGAAATGTAATTAAGGAAGAAAGGACATGCAGAGTGCTCTAAAGTAACGATGCAGTTTTGCAATGGGAAGAGAGTTAAGAGGGGAAAAAACCTCCCCCCGCCCCCACTTGGCCAAGGAGCTTAAGCATCCCTCAGTTTGCAGGTTCTGACCACAGTACTGACCCTTCCAGTACAGGGTCACCTTATTTATCCTAAAAGATGTGGAATATCGATGAGCAAGGCCCTTAAGTTAAAGAACACAAGCCACCTAGGCCAGAGTAAAATATCTCCATCATTTATCTACATGGACTATATATTTTACACCTTCTTTCATGAGCTATACAAAATCTCCCTTTCAAGTGCCATTAGCAAGAGCTTTGAAAAAAATCATAAAAGGCAACTCAAGAAATGATTTCCAAATGTGCCCTGGCTACCAGGCCACCGTCATATGTGTTCAGAACAGGTCTGGCTCAATCCATCTCAGCAGCTTATACCTGACCTGGTATCTCTTAGACCCCTGACCACCAGCCCCAGTGTAACCTGGACTGGTTTGGTGGCTTTCTCTAAAAACCTTAACGAAGAGCACATGAATGATCTTTTTTTTTTCTTTCTTTCTTTCTTTATTCTGAATAACCTGAAAGAACTACCTGTGCTATCATGAGATCCAACATCACTTTCTTTTGACTGGGGGATAAGCCCGTTTCTTCTCAGGGAACAGTTGGCAACTCCGTGTTTGCGCAATTGGTGCCGTTCACAGTTAGATTTGGTAGAAAAGAAGGCGTCGCATTTTTGACAAGGGTAGGGCTTCTGACCTGAAGCAGGAAAAAAGATAGATTTATCTGACTTTCTAATGAAAGGTAAGAGCTACTTTATTTTGCTGGACAATACTGGTAGTTGTCTCCCGCCCCCTTACTTCGGTTGAATGTCAGTAAGCTTTTAAAAACAAAACAATGAAACATCTAATATCTCAAAAACAGAGCAAAACATGCTTTTATTCTTTGTAATATTGAATGAAATATTATTGCACAATTAAAACATTTTAGTTTTGTCTTGGCATGAGGGGACTCCCAGTGTGGAAAGTAATTCTACTACAGCTTACAAATGCCTGTTAAAAGGGTCACATAGTCAATGTATGCCAGAGGTAAGAGGGATTGAACCCAGGATTGCTGGACTCGTACCATGCTACTGCATGTAAAACCTACTTGGAAATTATCATGTAACTGTAGAAATTTTCGTTCAACTAACAAAACAACAGCACGTTAATTGAAACGATAACGTTAAAGTAAATTCAACTGAATTTAATACTGTAAGGAATTTTAAAATCAGACGAGAAAATGGTTCTCTTTCCACAGGATAAATGGACCATAAGACATTTTTCTACAATTAGAGGATGAAGATGTAGGAGAAAAGGGAAATGAACAGTCACTTTCAATCAGGTAAGACAAAAATATGGTGAGCCCCTTTAAGACACCAAAGATTCTCTGGCCCCAGAGATGCCTGTGGCAGCTAACTGAGAAGACCAAACAGGAAGTAAGACAAACCACCTTGCTCCATACCCTTGACACCGAGGCTCAGAACAGGCCTTCAAGGGGAAGTGAAGACAGGGAGCAAAGATATGCTGGCCTTTCAAGTGAATTAGAGGACTGATATCCTTGCTCTCAAAAGGTTAAGTACTAATATCTGCTGGATTTGATTATAAGAGTATGACATTTACTTTAATTTACTTGTGTTTCCAAAAGAATGGCCCCTAGGAGGGATCCCCCTCTGCCTAATGGCGAAAATTCCTGGTAAATCCTATTTCAACTCTAGTCCTCTCCTTTCTTAGCCAATTTTCTGTTTTGTTTTAAATCCTCAAAACACGATGAAAGAAATAGGTCGTTCACACCAGACGTCTATGTTGTTTGGCTTAAAATGTTCAGGTTTCCCCACCTTCTCTTCTTATTTGGATTTTTTAAATATTGTAAATACAATCTATCAAAGTCCAAGTCAAGGTCCTTGTGACATAACTGTCCCTGTGCTAATACTTGTCTGTGTATATGGGGGAGGGGGGAAATAAAGAAAAAGAACAGGAGTTGGAGAGCCAAGATAGGCTTTTGGTTGTGGTGGTGGTAGTGGTGGTGATGATTAGGCATTTATACTTATGACCAACTTCTATGGTTATAGCCCCCAATCTGCCAGGAGGGAAAGGTTCACCTGACTATCTTGGTGACAAACACGAAGACTTCAACAGCTGCAGCCCCAATGCCTTTTGTCCCTTAGCCTTGGTTGGCACTGTTGGAACCAATGTACAAGTCAAACACGAAGCACAGAGGTCTCCTTGCATCGCTTTTCTTGAAACAAAAAAATACAGGGGGCCTTTGTTTTTACCCATAGTTTTGGATTAAAAAGAAGTGACTCCTTCCTTAATAAGCAGAAGCTCGGAATTTGCAGGATCTCCTAGAAATGCCCAGTTTGCACAGTTCAGACAGTTTAGAGCCACAGCTGGTGACAGAGCCCCATGTATCCAAGTCAGAGGTCAGTCGCCCAGATAAGCAGCAGCTACAGCTGAAACTACTCATCTTGTTTTCCCTTTTTTAAAATTATTTTTATTTGTTTGTTAACTATTTCCCAATTATGAGTAAGACATTTTTTAAAATCATTTTTTTAAATTTTGAGTCCTAAATTCTTTCACTCCTCCTGCCCCTCTCACTCCTTATAAGACAAGCAATTTAATTATAATTGTACATGTGAAGTCATGCAAAACAAAATTCCGTATTACCAAGTTGCAAAAGAAAACACATGAAAAAATAAGATAAAGTAGAAAGAAGTATGCATCTGTGCTCAGACCAGAGTTCATCAGTTCTCTCTCTAAATGTGGACAGCATTTTTCATCTCAGGTCTTTTGCTGCTATTGTGAATTGTCTCGATCAGTGACTAAGCTTTTCACAGTTGATCATCTTTCCAATATTGCTATCACTGTGTACAATGTTCTCCTGCTTCTGCTCACTTTACTTTGCACGAGTCTTCTCAGGTTTTTCTGAAACTATCTGGCTCATCTTTTCTCTGTCCCTGTCTCTCTCCAGACAGCCTAGCCAACGGTGGGGAGAGGGGGGGAAAGGCTAGCAATACCTGAATTCTTATTAAAATCATGAGACCTCCACTAGCTCCTAAATAAAGCCAGAATATTGCAAAGTTTTCTTAAATTCAGTAGGTGTTTCATGGTGTGTTTGTGTGAAACACTGTAATATTTGCTATCCATCTTCAATCAAATAAATCTAGATTTTCAGTTCCTTGTGATTGTCATAAGAATTACCAGTGACCAAGGACTCACTGGAAAAAAAAAAAGACAAATGATGTCAAGTAGAAAATGACATCCCAAAGCCAGAGAGATTGGCTTTCATAAAAATACAGAACCATCTACCGTCACTGTTGTTTCTATATTTTCCTCTCTTCAAATGCTTTTCTTCCTCTCCCCTTCATTCCTCTGCTACTATGGTAAGAAACTGTCACCATGCCTTCTGACAATATACTTCTGAAAGAAAAGATTTTAAGGGTTCAAATGATACTTTCTGTATTTTAAAGCAAAGCCTTTAAGTTAAAAAAAATCTAGGTAGATCAACTAATCAAAACTCAAAAGCAATAATGAACTTATAATAAACTACTTAACTGCATAAGCATTAGTTTCAGAGGTAGTGTGGTTCACAGCAGTTAAAAGGGTTTGACTGGAAGCATAAGTCTTGGCTTCCAATGCCACCTCTAAAGCTTCCTGGTGTGACCATGGATAAGACATTTTACCTCGAGTTTATTTCCTCATCTATAAGATGGAGTTAATACCCACAGAAACCACCTCAAAAGGCTGATGTGCAGCTCAAGTGAAATAATGTACATTAAAATGCTCTGTAAACTTTGAACCATTATACAAAAGTTACTCTTACACATTAGTGCACACACGAGTGAGCACACTGTTTTAAAAAAAATCAGTCCTTTTATCAATCCTTTCATTACTACTTGAATATTTCGAAGTTTGTTTAAAAAGGAAAAAATGAACAGAAGGGGGCTAACTTGGCAAATTTTCCTTCAAATTTCAGTTATTAAAGTAAAATGGTAGCTTCAAATGAGAGGCTCTATTTTTACTAGAGTCCCCGAAAAAGCAGTCCGTGACGTCTTTGTATCAAAGAATATGGTTTCTCCCAATGTAAGATTAAAATAAATGGATGTTTGGTTTTGACTCTCTCAGAAAAGCAACTAGGGAAAGAAATTCTTCGATACCATTTGGCAAGCATTGGGTTTCACCAGACAGGTTATCACCTAGACACTGACCTGTGTTCTCCTGCCTTTGGATCACTGCTGCCATAATTTCTCAGAATGCCCCCTTCATTTTTAATTCCTATCTTCCTTAAAAGCCCAAGTCCAATGAGATGTCCTACCATGGAGCCCTCTCCCTTAGGCCTTTCGGAACATTTCTTATATAGTACTGTGTATTATAATCATGTTTGTGTTTGAACCCTGTTATGGCAGGGGACTTCAATCCCAGAGTCCAGCATAGTCCTCCGTACACAGTAGGAATTCAATGCTCCTGAACAAATGCTGAATGTGAAAAAGCTTACTTGTTGAATATGCTAATTCCATAGCTATTTTTTCCACAAACTCCAATGCTCCTGAATGAATGCTAAATGTGAAAAATTCTATTTGTCCACAGGTGTTTTTTTTCCACAAACCCCCAAAATGATAGAGAATCCAGTGTTCTCAAGGTAAGCAGATAATTTCAACTATTAGTTTATTAAACTATACAAACTAGATCAAGCATTTTTTGGTGTATTTTTTTAAATAATAAAGATAATTCCATAACAAAAAGTTACAGGTGAGTTGCCTATCGGTGAAGAGTTTCCAGACTGTGAAGTCCCTAACCTAATGACCAGAAGCCTAGAGAAAAATAAATATAAAATTAAAAAATCCAGGAGTCAAGCAGTTCATAAATTAATTCCTGTGGCCTTTTTAAAACACATGCTATTTCTTAAAAATGTAATACAAACATCCCACTAGTGCTCCCTTCTCTGGGTATTCAACAGTCTAGTCACACTACTTCTTCCTACCTTATACTTGGAAAAGGTCAGGAAGGATTTATTAAGCACCTATCATGTGTCAGGCACTATACTAAATACTTAATCCTCATAACAACCCTGGGAGGTAGGTGCTATTATTATCCCATTTTACAACTGAGGAAACTGAGGCAGGCAGAGGTTAAGTGATTTGCCCCAAATCACAATAGCTAGTAAGATGTCTGAGGCTGGATCTGAACTCAAGCAGGTTTCTCTTCTTTTACGGACCAATTCAGAAACTACTTCTTTTCCATGAAGCGTCCTTTGATCCCACTAGTTAGAAATGAAACATTCCCCTGTTTTGCTACACACACACACACACACACACACACACACACCCCCTCTCTTCCTAGTCCCCAGATAGTATGATAAATACATGCTTAAAAAAATGCTTGAATTGGGCTGAAGATTTCTTGAAATATAAAGTGGAACAGAGTGGTAACAAAACCATCTTAGAGCACAGCTCTGAGTTCTGTCATTTCTGTCAGGATTCCTAGTGAATAATCTTCCACCTCCCAGGCAAGCAATATTTTTTTTTTTTTAAAGGGGCAATTGTGACTTGCCCAGGGTCACACAGCTAGTAAGTGTTAAGTGTTTGGTCTGAGGCTGGATTTGAACTCAGGTCCTCCTGACTCCAAGGCCAGAGCTCTATCCACTGCGCCACCTAGCTGCCCCACAAGCAATATTTCTTAAAAAGTTACTTGGGGCATCGAAATACTAAGTGACTTGGTGGC